GTCTTCAGAACATCTAGGATCGAGTCACGGGAAATTCAATCATCTCACAGGATGAAGCAATAGAAAACTCCATCACCCAATGGGATTGAGTCACGAAAAACTCAATCATTAAAACATAGGCATCCGGAACTGGATCGAGTAAACTCAATCATCACACAGGATGGAATAACCCAATACTCCATCATCCAATAGGATTATTAATATATCATAATAATTGTCGCATTAAAACACTTTCCCAACAATGGCCAACCTTGCCTATTTCAAGAGAAGCCAATTCTAGGAGAAGCCTATCCCCATGACAAACTTCTCTAGGTACCATACAAGCCTGGTTTTGCTTGAGAGAGAGAGAGAGGAGGGGAGAGAGAGAGAGAGGGAGAGGAGGTAGAGAGAATGAGAGAAGTTTCTCTAACTCGTTTTGTTTTAGATAGATAATGCATGGGCTAGAAAGAGAAAATGAGAGAAAAAAGGGATAAATAGAGGAAAATGGGAGAGGTGGTTTAGGGAAAGAGAGAGACAGAACGGAGAGAGAGACGGGGGCGTGGGGCAGGTTAGAGAGAGATAATGAGAGGGGCACAAACTTGGGTTACTTACTTGTTGGGCTGGTGGTGAAAGTCCAACATTCATCTTGAGATTCGATTTGATATATGGTTAAAGGCTAAAATCACCCTAAACTTCTATATTTTAAATATGAAGGATCATTCCCCCTGTATTTTACCTTATTTAAGAAGGCGAATATTATATTCCTTATCTCTCACTAATGTAAAAAATATGAGGGCATAAATGGAAATTGTAGGAGGGATATTTTCACCTTGAGGTGAGATTGTTTAAAATCAAATGATAGTTATTCTAGGATTTGAGCTTGGGCTTGATTGGATAGAGTGTTGATTAGTGTTATAGTATGCTCAAATTCAACTAGAAGAATGTTGGCTACCTTTATTATTATAAGATAGAAAATTGTTTCATGCGGTGGAGACTGCATTTTTTGGTCCTCGAGATATAATCCATCTAAAAACAATTGAAACTAATGGTTCAAATGTTTTCTTAATAGAATTATTATTTCTAATTTTCTAATTTTATTTATTTATTAATATTCATGATCTTCGTGTTAGAGATTACATGACCTTAAAAATGAAGTCCAAAAATCCATCTCAAAAATAGCTTTTTAAGAGGTTACTCATTTCCACATGGAGTCATAGAAATCGTGTCCTTATAAGTATACCGTTTCATTGATCACTCAAGATGACTCAAGATAACATCACTCAATACCAACAACATCACTCATTTACTGACTCAGTATAATTAAATAGAGATGAGAAAGAGGGTGAAAATATTTCATTGATCACTCAAGATAACATCACTCAATACCAACAACATCACTCATTTACAGGTTCAGTATACTATTTGTCTAATAGAGATGAGAAGGAGAGAGAAAACTGAAACCAAAATAACAATTTTTTTATTATAAAATTTTTTCTTATTTCTTCATAGATTGCCATAGAAACATGAGGATTATGATAAAAGTTTAGACTGGTCTAGTCTCTGATGGAAGTATATAGTTTTTATGTAGTCGTGAAAAACTCACATTAATCTTATTATTTCTGAGTAAGATAGAGGTTTAAGATTTGGGTCCTGAGCAAATTGAGAAAAATAAAAAAGGGTATCTTCTGATTTATTCTTCTGGCTTGGTACCTGGTTGGTTTCCAAATTTATCTCTCTTTTTTTTCATTGTTTAGGAACTTCTTTCTTCCCCTTATTTAGGAGTGGCTGGTTTCCTTTGTCCATCTAAAAATTATTCGGGATTCCTGCTAAAAAAATCTACAAGAATATTGTCAGTACCTTTAATTTATTCAACTTCAAAGTTATAATTATGAATATCATTAGACCAACAAATGCATATATCAATAGACCCAAAAAGACTTGTCATTGTTATATATGCAATGACGAAGGACATATTGCCCCAAACTGTCCTCAAAAAAGAAAAAAATGTTAAGAAAATAATAAAAATCCTTGAAGAAAATTATTATGAAATTTGTTTCGGGTAAGAAATTTTTTATAATGAAACAATTATATTCGAAGTTGAGACTGAATCAGAAAGCAGTGATTCATAATCAGAAATAGTTTTCATAATGAATGAAGAATATAAAGCAGAAGTTCCTGATGAAGAGCATCAAGAAGTTCTTAAATTAGGAAATATAATTCATGAAGAATTTACAGTTGATTAGTCTAAATTAGAAAAATAAAATACTCTTAAGAAAGAAGAAATATATAAATTGTTAAAGTTCCAATTTTTTAATGCTAGAAACTTTGAACATTTTAGTGGTAATACAACAACTAAAGCTTCATAAAATGGTTCGGTTTAAATAACAATTTTTTACAAAGTCAAAATTGCAAAACTCATAAAGCAATATCAGAAACCTAGATATATGCATATTGGAGTAATCGTAATCGAAATAATAACATTATTTCGACAAGGGATAGATACCCCAATATTAGTTGTTGCTTTTGACAAAAGATTCAGTGATCCTATTAAGGCAATAATAGGAGGTGTACAGTCTAATCTTGTCAATGGAAGAGTTTGGTTTAAAATAAAACCCAACTATTTCATCTCAGTGCAAGATAAAAACATTCAAGATATTGCTAAAATTTTAATCCAAATAAAAAATATTGGGATAAAAGAAGATAGTTTTGATCTTGCAATAGAATGGAAAGCACACTACATGAATTAACTAGTATGACTAAGATTTTTTTAAAGAATATAGACAATAAATTCGTAGATATCTTTGAACCTTGTAACTTTGATATAGAAATCCAACCAAGATTAATCAATTGGTGAGATCTTGAGATATCTGCTAATTGGATATACTTATGGATTGTTGAGTCTCTTCTTGAGATTGTTGATTATTTTCCTACTCATCTTCTTCTCTTTGTAGAGACGAACTAGATCCAGGAAAAATAATAATTTTAATATTTTTGTATCCCAATGGTTTTTGGTTTACCACAAAGCTTAATCTTTTATTTGAGAAACGTTGATCAGTAAAATATATGTTGTTTCCAGAGGTTTGGAAAGTAATAGGTTGTACTTCTTTTTTGGAAGTTTTTTCTATAAAGTTTTCAATTAACCAATTCATAGGGATCTTAAGATCTCGTCAATTGATTAATCTTGGTTGGATTTCTATATCAAACTTACGAGGTTTAAAGATTTCTACAAATCTATTGTCTATATTCTTTGTAGTAGTCTTAATCATTCTAGTTAATTCATGAATTGATTTCCATTCTATTGCAAGATCAAAACTATCTTCTTTCATTCTAATATTTTTTGTTTGGATTAATATTTTGATAGTATCTTGAATATTTTTATCTTATACTGAGATGAAATAGTTAGGTTTTATTTTAAACCAAACTCTTCCAGTAACAAGATTAGACTGTGCACCTCTTATTATTGCCTTAATAGGATCATTGAATCTTTTGTCCACAGCAATAACTAATACTATGGTATATATCCCTTGCGGAAAGAATGTTGTTATTTTCATTAAGTTACTCCAATATGCATATATATGAGTTTTTGATGTTGCTTTATGAGTTAAAAATTGCTATTTCAACATAACTATTTCTGAGGCTTTAACAGTTGTATTATTACTAAAATATTCAAAGTTTCTAGCATTCCAAAATTGAAACTTTGACAATTTATATATGTCTTCTTTCTTAAGAGTCTATAATTTTTTTAATTTAGACTCATCGATTGTAAATTCTTCATAAATTACATCTGCTAATTTAAGAACTTCACGATGCTCTTCATCAGGAACTTCTGCTATATATTCTTCATTCATCATGAAGAATATTTTTTATTAAGAATCACTGCTTCCTGATTCAGCTTCAACTTCGAATATAATTGGTTCATTATCGAAAATTTCTTCTCTGAAACAAATTTCATAATCATTTTCTTTAAGGATTTTTATCATTTCCTTAACATTTTTTCCTTCTTGATGACAGTTTGGGGCAATTTGTCATTCCTCATTACATATATAACAACGACAACTATTTTTGGGTTTGTTAATATTCTTCTTGACTACATATCATTTTTTTACAATTGAAGTTTTATTCTACTTCTTCGAATTTTGTTTTTTTGAAAAATTTCTTTTGTTTTTTATTTTCGCAACCAAATTCAAAATTGTTTTTTAGGATTCGACTGTAATCTTTTTCTCCAAGTCCTTTCCTGACTTTTTTTTTGCTTTAAAGTCTAGGCAATGACTTTCAATTTTTTGGAAACAAATCTTATTCTATTTCCCAAAGTATCATTTAATGATGTATCACTGACATATTTACTATATTCAATGTCACAAATTTCATCCCATGGTGATGGTAATTTATGGAAAAATTGTTTTTTCCATAATTTTGATTTATTTTTATTCAGCAATTGGTACCATTTTTTAAATTCTTTAGCAAAGGCTTCAAATTCTTTAATGTTACAAAGTTGTATCTTTAACGAAGTGTATTCTGCACGATTTTGCAGTTTATACACATCTATGTGTCCACAAAATTTTTGTGAAATCTTTTAAGATGTCTTCCATTTTCTTTTCTCTATTAAGTATATTAGTTTTTTCTGATTCCCCTAGTTGAAGCTTCCCATTTTCTAAGAAATTACAAATTATCTCATTATTGGTGCCTTGGGCAATAACTAATTAACTATAGTTTACATGGACTTGAGAGAGAGAGTAAGATATTTGAGGATTCAAACCACAACTTAACCATCAAATAAGAGAAAGTTAATTCATGTTGACACATAAAAATAAAGTACATCAAATTATTTTGAAATTTGAGAGAGAGAGAGAGAGAAATAGCCTTCAAGGTTCAAACGACAACTTACCCATCAAATAAGGAAGAGATTTGGGAGAGAGAGCAAAGCATGTAATAATTTCATATGAATTACTACGAAAGGAAGAAATTTGTGTGTGAGAGAGAGAGCAAAGCATAAGATAATTCCATATGAATTACTAGAAAAATCTCCACTAACATTGCTCATATAAAATTCAAATAATATGATTACAACATTGTTCCATCACTTCCTCTCCCAAAAATAATTTTTGCCCTTGAAAATACATATGCTTAAAGGTATCATGCCTTTGACTTGATAACTTTGAAACCCCATAACTTCATCACCACACTTCAAACTAGAGCCTCCTACTTTTGTTGTCCCATACAAACTATCTTTGTTCCCCATTCAAAATGCACCACTTTGGCTTCTTGATGCTAATTGTAACTCTAGGATCTTCATCATCACACTCTTATGACAATTCTTCTATGGCTCCTCTGCTGTTGAACATCTTGGGCATGCCAAACCTATCCTATGGAATTAGATAAAGATGTTATTGCAAAATGGAAGTATATCACATTGTAGAATATATACATTGTACCCAGCTCCCACCATTTTCTCCACTGTTCATGTTCGACTTCAGGATGCGATTGATGGTATCCGTAAGAGTCATATTAGGGAGTTGATCATTTGCCATGACATAAGTAGCACCACATAAGCACATTGACTTGGAAATGATATAGTCCCTGGTAGCTGATAAGAAACATCAGATAAATTGGGTTCATCAGATATTGCTTCCTCAAATACCTTCAAAAGTTACGAAGAGATGGACAAGACTTAAGGACTAATTAAGAGTTCCTTTCAAGATGCATTACCTATGGTATCATAACAGGCCCTACATATCAAGAAAACAAAATTAAAAAGAATGTAAAATAATTAAAAAAATGCATTGCTTTTGGTATTATAACAGGCCCCTACGTATACATAGAAAAATCTTAAATAAAAAAAAAATACATAAGACTACTTTGACAACGGGGATGCAATGCATGAAAATTACTAGTAATTTTGGTATTGTAACAAGCCTCTATTAAGAATTTTGTCGAATACTTTGCAAATGTGTTGGATCTCAACAAGATTTATAAACAAGTCAATAATTGCAGTAGCTACAATGAACCAAAAACTAAATTGAGTGATTCTAATATGAACTCATATTTTTTGGGGGGACTTTTAAAATTATATATAGAACGAGAGAATTCCATTTTATATCAGACGCTTGGGTTTTTAGCAGTGGAGTTGCCTAAATAAACACAAATACAGTGAAAAATCAAAATGCATAGAGAACCCGACACCAAAACATCAATCAATAAATAGATAAACAATGTAAATTATAGAAAAACCCAAGATTAAAGTGAAAAAAAGAACGATTATCAAGTCCATGTTTTTGTGGGCCTGTAAATTAATATTTGAGATGAACAATTTGCCCTAGAGAGAGGGTAGAGAGAGGGACTATTAGCTTGCTAATTCATCACCAAAAGTGAATACTTAATTATTAATCCATACCATATTCAAAATCCAGATTTTGAGAGTAGCTTTGAATTTGAATGAAATAATAGGTTCTCAAAGAGGCACTCCTCCATTCAATCTTCAACCAAACAAAGGTGTCTTCTATCATGTGCTTCTTCCATCATGAACTTGAATGAAATAATGGGATACTTTCCTGCATTTTTTAGGAGATTGCTTCCTCAAATATTGCTTCCTCAAATACCTTCAAAAGTTACGAAGACAAGACTTAAGGACTAATTAAGAGTTCCTTTCAAGATACATTACCTATGGTATCATAACAGGCCCTATATATCAAGAAAACAAAATAAAAAAGAATGTAAAATAATTAAAAAAATGCATTGCTTTTGGTATTATAACAGGCCCCTACGTATACATATAAAAATCTTAAATAAAAAAAAAATACATAAGCCTACTTTGACAACGGGGATGCAATGCATGAAAATTACTAGTAATTTTGGTATTGTAACAAGCCTCTATTAAGAATTTTGTCGAATACTTTGCAAATGTGTTGGATCTCAACAAGATTTATAAACAAGTCAATAATTGCAGTAGCTACAATGAACCAAAAACTAAATTGAGTGATTCTAATATGAACTCATATTTTTTGGGGGGACTTTTAAAATTATAGATAGAACGAGATAATTCCATTTTACATCAGACGCTTGGGTTTTTAGCAGTGGAGTTGCCTAAATAAACACAAATACAGTGAAAAATCAAAATGCAGAGAGAACCCAACACCAAAACATCAATCAATAAATAGATAAACAATGTAAATTATAGAAAAACCCAATATTAAAGTGAAAAAAAAGAACGATTATCAAGTCCATGTTTTTGTGGGCCTGTAAATTAATATTCGAGATGAACAATTTGCCCTAGAGAGAGGGTAGAGAGAGGGACTATTAGCTTGCTAATTCATCACCGAAAGTGAATACTTAATTATTAATCCATACCATATTCAAAATCCAGATTTTGAGAGTAGCTTTGAATTTGAATGAAATAATAGGTTCTCAAAGAGGCACTCCTCCATTCAATCTTCAACCAAAAAAGGTGTCTTCTATCTTGTGCTTCTTCCATCATGAACTTGAATGAAATAATGGGATACTTTCCTGCATTTTTTAGGAGAGAGAGTATGGGCGAGGGCAAGGAAGGAGAGGGAACGGGCAAGGCAAAGGGGGGGAGAGAGAGCAGAGGCGTGTCAGAGAGGGGATAGAGAGCAGAGGCCAAAATTTAAAATTCCGTCTTTTTTTTTTTGTAGTTGTCGTTTGAAGTTTTTATCAAAAATCTAAAATACCCTTGTATATAAGCTATGGTCATCACATAATGTGCGGGTAGTAAATGTAAAAGGTTCTTCATGAGTCCCTCTAACTTGAGCCTAAAGTTTTTGGAGGGTTGTTAACTCTGGGTTTTGTCTAGAGTTAACTAACTCCTCAAAATATAAAAGTTTAAGTTAGACGGGGTTGTAATAGGTGTATTTATCAAAATAATTATAATTTTTTTATTAAAAAATTATTTGAATAGATAACTTTACCATTAAGTAAAGACAAATTTAAAGTTTTCACAAAAATATAATGGTATTTTGAAAGTTAGTGTCTTAAAATTTTATTTATAGAGTGCCTTTGTTTTTTAGTTAAAATTTCAATTTTATCCCTTATAGAGATGACAAAAGTACTTTTTGTCTTGTAATAATATTTACAAAATTGTCTCAAAAAATATTTTTTTAAAAAAAATAGACTACAAAATTAATAAATCCACATTTTACAATTCTCTCTATCTTGAACCTTTATAATTTGAAGGGTTGTGAAGTTTAGAATATCCCAT